ATTCCACCTTCCAATCGCGCTGGCCTTAAGCACCTTTTGCCTCACAATCTATCCTAAGAGTTGTTTTCATATAATTCCATACCTTCATTCTTTTTCTTTTTTTTTTTTTTGAGATGGAGTATTGCTCTGTCGCCCAGGGTGGAGTACAGTGGCGCGATCTCGGCTCACTGCAAGCTCTGCCTCCCAGGTTCACGCCACTCTCCTGCCTCAGCCTCCTGAATAGCTGGGACTACAGATGCCCACCACCATGCCCAGCTAATTTTTTTGTATTTTTAGTAGAGACAGGGTTTCACCATGTTAGCCAGGATGGTCTTGATCTCCTGACCTCTTGATCTGCCTGCCTCAGCCTCCCAAAGTGTTGGGATTACAGGCACGAGCCACTGCGCCTGGCCCTCCTTCATTCTTTTTTAAGGCAACATAAATTTCCTTATTGATTGAGCTCCTGGTTTTCATTTTATGAATTTTTTATGCTAAGTTATTTGATGTTTAAAGATTTATGCAAAATATTCTCATTGTGGATTGCAAATCAGTATGAAAATATATCTCTTCAATTCCTGCAAAACTTTTGGTGAATTTAACCTCATCTATATTAATGTCCCCAAATTTCTTTTTGACACATCTCTAAGTTTTCTTTTTGCTTTCCACCTTTCTCAGTCATTTTACTTTTGATACATTTGTTATATAGCATGGAACTGAGTTTGTTTTTTAATATAATCCAGTAAGTTTTTTTTTAATATAGGTGAATTTACTTTACTTATATATAGACTTGCACGCTTTGCCGTCTTTCATTTTATGGCAATTTTTTGTTTTTGTTACAAATTTACTGTTTTCTTTCTCCCTCCCTTTACCTCCAGGCTTACCACTCCTGTTTTTCTAAATATTTTGGATGTTTTATAGTTTAATTTTAACTCTTTTAGGGGTAAATTTTATTTTTTTATTTTATTTTATTTTTTTTGGGAGATGGATTTTCACTCTCATTGCCCAGGTTGGAGTGTAATGGCATGATCTCGGCTCCCCACAACCTCTGTCTCCCGGGTTCAAGCGCTTCTCCTGCCTCAGCCTTCCGAGTAGCTGGGATTACAGGCATGCACCACCATGCCTGGCTAATTTTGTATTTTTAATAGAGATAGGGTTCCTCCATGTTGGTCAGGCTGGTCTCAAACTCCTGACCTCAGGTGATCCACCCACCTCAGCCTCCCAAAGTGCTAGAATTCAGGTGTGAGCCACCGCGTCTGGCCTATAATTTTCAACACTATACTTACTTACACATGTATTTTTTGATTTTACAGCTTTAAAGGTAAAGTTTGCTCATTTATACTTCCTTTAACCTCCCTATCCTCTGCCTGTCCCCCCGTCTTTTAGCTTTTTCTACTTGTTTTTTCTGAATGGAGGCCTGCATGATTCATTCTTTTTCTTTAAAGTTCAGTACTATTGCAAACATACATCTCAGTATTGAACACTATATACAAAATTTTCCTAGGACTTGGTACACCCTTTTAAATTGCAGGTTCAAGCCAGGTGTGGTAGCATGTGCCTACAGTCCCAGCTACTCTAACGGCTGAGGTGGGAGATCACTTGAGCCCAGGAGTTTGAGGCTACAGTTAGCTACAATCACACCACTGCACTCTAGCCTGGGCAACAGAATGAGACTCCATGTCTAAAAATACATACATACATATATACAATTGTAAGTTCCATTCTTCCTTATATCTTTATTTTTCTATTATCTTCTTTAGAGGCAACAACAGATATCATTGTGTTGGATTTTCACTGTCAGTCCTCAAATTCCACCATTTTTTTTCTAATCGCTGTCATCTCTTTCTCCTAATTGGTACTTTTTAAAAAAAATTTCATTTTGTTCTCCTATCCCCTAAATCTCCCTTTTCATTTCATATTCTATCAATTTTTATTTCATATACTTCATGTCTTCTAAAGTTATTCAGAGTGTAAAACATTTAGAAAAAAATTTCTTATCTTCTAGAGTATGCTTTTACAGATTATATTTCCATCTTTCTTTTGCAAGCTATGTCTCCCACACTAACCCCTGCAAAGTTGCAGTGTTCTATTTCTACATCTTATGTATTGTTTTTGTGTGTGTGACAAAAAGTATGACATTAAATTAACCATCTTAGCCATTTTTAAGTGTACAGTTCAGTAGTGATAAGTATACTCACATTGTTGTGCAACAATCTCTCTTTCATCTTTTAACACTGAAACTCTGTACCTACTAAATACTAATTCTCTGTCCACCCTCTCACAGGCCTTGGTAATCACTGTTCTACTTTCTGTTTCTACGATTTCAGCTACTTTAGATATTTCATATTGAGGCAGGAAATTAAAGAAAAATAAAATTAAGAAGAAAGAGAAATAAGTTTTCCTGCATTAGGCTGACTTGTCCCGGAGGCAGCAACAGGCACAGCCCAGACCCAGGAAAAGTCTTGATAATATTATCTAATGTGCTCTGGAGACTCTCGCAGCACTCCCTCAACACAGGGAGAAGAAAAAAACAAATTTTCCTTTGTTTTATGGAATGAGTTTATAGATTCCTGTTCTCTCTAACTAGTGACTTCAAGTATTCTGTTTTATCTAAGAAGTACAATAAAGGTCATGAGAAGCCTGAGTAGGCCTGAACTACAGCTCCATGGGCACCACAGTGAAGGTTATGGAATAAGCCCGTGCCTAGGCAAACCTAGATAATGGACATCTAGGCTGCATAGCAGTAGTTATGTACAATTCTGAGTTTTGAACCTGTTACAATTTGATTAACTGTCTTTGTCCTGCCTCTGTATCCCTGCTTTCATGCCACTGTAAGCTTGCTTCAAGCTAGCCCACCCCCTTTTGTGAGGTGTGTATAAAAGCCAAGTGCTGTCTTTGTTCTGGGCCCCGTCTTTGGACGTGAGTCTGCTGGGCCTGAGTGCACTCAATAAAAGATTCTCCTATTTAAACCCAAGGTCTCTCTCATCCTCCTAAATCCCACAACATTTGCAATAAACCATATAGTATTTATCTTTTTGTGACTGATTTATTTTGCTTAGTATAATGTTCTTGAGGTTCACCTACCTTGTATTATGTGATAGAATTTCCTTCTTTCTTAAGGCTACACAACACACTACTTATCTATGTATGTAACGTATTTTCTTTATTGACAAATAATTCCCATTTTGTTAATACATTCATCTGTTGATGGACATGTGGGTTGCTTCCACCTTTTAACTATTATAAATAATGCTGCAATAAACACAGGTATACAGGTATCTTTTTGAAATCCTGTTTTGAATTCTTTAGGTTATATGCCCAGCAGTGGCAGTGGGATTGCTGGATCATATACTAATTCTTTTTTATTATTCTGAGGAACCTCCATACTATTCTCCATAATAGCGATACCATTTGACATTCCTACCAACAGTGAACATGGGTTCCAATTTCCTTGCATCCTTATGAACATTTGCTATTTTCTGTTTTTTTGATAGTGGTCATCCTAACAGGAGTGAGCGATAACTCACTGTGGTTTTGATTTGCATCTCTCTTATGATTAGAGAGAGTGGGCATCTTTTTATATGTTTGGTATGGCATTTGTGTATCTTCTACTGTCTATTCAAGTCCTTTGCTCATTTTAAAATAAGTTATGTGTTTTTAAAAATAAGTTGTTTGGGTTTTTTTTTTGCTGTTGAGTTGTGTAAGTTCTTTATATATTCTGAATACTAATCCCTTATCAGATCTATGATTTGCAAATATTTTCTCCCATTCTGTAGAATGCCTATTCACACTCGTAATTGTTTACTTTGGCATGCAGAAGTTTTCAAGTTTGATGTAGTTTCATTGGTCTATTTTTGCTTTTGTTGTCTGTGTTTTTGGTGTCATATCTGAGAAATCACTGCCAAGTTCAATGTCCTGAAGGTTTCTCCTTATGTTTTCTTCTGGGAGTTTTAAGGTCTTACATGTATGTCGCCAACCCTTTTTGAGTTAACTTTTGTATATGGTATAAAGAAAGGGTCTACCTTTATTCTCTTAAATGTGGATATCCACTTTTCCCAACACCATTTGTTGAAGAGACTATCCTTTTCCCATTGTGTAGTCTTGGCTATTGTCAAAAAATCATTTTCTATATTCTTGATGTAAGCAGTTGAATCCGGACTATTTCCAAAATCCAGAATGGTTAGATTAGTTCCTTGACTCTTTTCTCTCTTCTCTCCTTACCTAGGCTGTTCCATATTCCTCTAAGAGGTAAGGCTTAACAGCTAGGTAGTAATGTCTTGTGTTCTACATGCTTTTATGTCAGAAAAAGGGGCCCATGGACAAACATAAATAAATGTGATTTTATTGTAATTTTTAAAAAGTTTGGGCCGGGCGCGGTGGCTCACGCCTGTAATCCCAGCATTCTGGGAGGCCGAGGTGGGCGGATCATGAGGTCAGGAGATAGAGACCATCCTGGTAAACATGGTGAAACCCCATCTTTACTGAAAATACAAAAAAATTAGCTGGGCGTGGTGGCGGGCGCCTGTAGTCCCAGCTTCTAGGGAGGCTGAGGCAGGAGAATGGCGTTAACCCGCGAGGCAGCGGGGCTTGCAGTGAGCGGAGATCACGCCACTGCACTCCAGCCTGGGCGACAGAGCGAGACTCCGTCTCAAAAAAAAAAAAAAAAAAGTTTGTATTGATGGTCTCACTGTCTTTGCTATAGCCTTCTGGAATGGCTTTAAAGTTGTCTCTGTTTGGGGACTGAGACAAGATGCTTCACTTCTAAAACTATCAGCCTTAGGTATTTATTTATAATCCTGTTTCTAAGTTGCTAATATCTTTTCCAAAAAGTAACAATTACTTTACAAATCTATATATACAGCAATCTAATAGGAGCATCAAAGTACTTTACACAAGAAAGTTTTAAAAAAAGAAAAGGAATTTTTGTTTAATCATGAGGCTATATTCTCATCAGAACGAAATGGAAACACACTAATACTGACCCCCATATACACACACACTCACACACAACCCAATCCCATTACCTTCAATATTGATCTGTAGGGATTCTTTATTGCTTGTCCAGGCTTCCTCGGGAACTGTCCTCTTCCTATGGATCTCCTCTTTCTGTGTAATGGCTTTAGTGTCTGGCAAGTTCTTAATTTCTGGGTCTCCTACTTGAGCTGAGTGCTCTGCAGCAGCAGCAGCACTGGAATCTACGAAAGGGACATTAACACATTATACAGACAGGAACTGGACATAAAATATTTTTAAATGTCTCTCAAGTATGTATTATGTGAAAGGCTTTCTTAGTGATATTGAATAAAAAAGATGACTCAGAAATGCGTTTAGAAAATAATTGAAAATTGGGGCAAAAAATCACATACGTAAACAGATATACCATAAGAAAGAGTCAGAAGAAGAGGTACCGGTATTCAAAGAAAGAAAAACTAATTGCAGGTGGGAGTACTACAGAACTCTAGACAATTGATTTTGGCATTAGAAGAGAGCTAAGATGGGATACACATTGAGATGGAAAAAAAGGAGGTGACTATGTAACAGAAGAATGGTGTCAGGAAAGTAACTTAACATCTAAGAAACAGAGCAAGTATATAGCATTAGATTATATAATTTATAAGGAAAAGAGGTGAGAACTAGTGTTAGAAAGTTGTTTGGGAGTGGATTCTACAGTTCTGGAAGACAGTGCTAAAATAGTTTAGATTTTATCCTTACGGGCAATGAAAACTAAAGTTTTTGATTACAAGATTAACATGTTCAAAACTGTTTTTGGAACATTCATTTAGTAATAGTAAAATGGGGTAAAATTCAGAAGTGTTGCCCAGAATACAATCTAACCTTTTTAAACAAGCAACACCTAAAGAAGAGAAGCAGCTAATTATGTTCTAAAATGTTTTAGTTTACAACTGTGGCGGAAACTATTAATACTATCTGTCCTCTAATATGCACTTTCCTTTTCCTCTAAACAGAACCCTAACTTTAGCTGGGCACATTGTTATTAGAATAACAACTCAATTTCCCAGCTTCCCTGGTACATGTGACCATGTGTCTAAGTCTGGCCAATAGAATGCAAAAACAATGGTACATAGAGCTTCTGAGAAGTATCCTTAAAGGAGGGAATGAGATTTTTCTTTTCCTTTCTTCCTGCTGGTTGCAATATGGGCTGATGGCTACAGCTTAAGAATGAAGGCCAAAAATGTCAGAGTAACAAGAGAGCAACAGCTTTGTTCTGATACTCTGGAGTACCAGGTCAACTCTGGATGCTTACCTCTGGATTTTTACAAAAGAGAGAAAGTTTTCTGTTTTCTTTAAGCCTATGTTATTTTGCTTTTGTTTTCCTCTCTCAGAGCCAAAACTAATCCTAATGTAAATACACTACGAGGGTTATTTAAATCAGCATAATCCCTCTGAAGTAAAGTAACTGATAGGGAGGAAGTAAACAAGCTGAATTCCTAAATAAAGGATCATGTACAAAAATGGTATTAGTGGGTCCGTGTCTCACAGAATTGAGAGATTTTTATCATCACAGGTAAAAAGTCCATTAAATGAATTTCTGGAAATCAGATTAATTTGTTTACTATATCCAAAAGATCTCCAGAAATATCTCAAAGAACTTTAAATATGTCCATTTTACCTGCCAAAGTACATAATAAATACAGCTAAACATACTTTAACTATTTCATATATACGCAAGATAGAAGAGAGCTGAAGACAGCAAGAAGAAAATAGAGAATATATTTCTGTTTCTGTTCTTAAGAGAATAGTCTCATTTTAGAAGACCAGAAGAAAATTATATGCAGAAAATCCAGTTTAGCTACCTGCAGTATCTTTCTGCAAAGATTCTTTTTCTTTAGCCTGGGCAGCCTCAGTCACTGCCCTTGTACTGTGGATCTCTTTCTGTTTTTTGTCTGACAGGTTCTCATCCCCAGTGATTAGCACTTGAACTGAGGCATCTGGAATAATGACATCATTTGATTTCAGAAAAGGAAAGATAATAAACACAACAGACAAGTAATCCTCCCCCCAAATTACAAACAAACCCCCAAATTCATGTATATATTAGGAAAAAAGTACCTCTTAGGCTCCATCTGTGTAAAAACTGTGACATGAATTGAAAATTTTTTCGTATTTTACTGTATAAAACAACAGTTTAAATAAAATAACATTCTACAGCCGGGCGCGGTGGCTCACGCCTGTAATCCCAGCACTTTGGGAGGCTGAGGTGGGTGGAACGCTTGAGGTCAGGAGTTCGAGACCACCCTGGCCAACATGGTGAAACCCCAACTCTACTAAAAATACAAAAACTAGCAGGCGTCGTGGTGCACACCTGTAGTCCCAGCTACTCAGGAGGCTGATGCGGAGAATCACTTGAACCCAGGAAACGGAGGTTGCAGTGAGTCGAGATCGTGTCACTGCACTCCACCCTGGGCGACAGAGTGAGACTGTCTCAATAAAATAAAATAAAATAAAATAAAATAAAAAACATTCTAAATAAAATCTGTACCTTGATGGTTTGATGCAACAGTAAAAAAAGCAAAAAAAGGAAAGATCAGGTATGTTTTTTCAAAGGAAAAAAGATGTGAACAATGCTTTCAAGTTATTTGCCCTATTCAAAGTGTTTACCACTTATGGAGTCAATTTTTATATTTCATATAATCCAAGAAAAACACTTTTATCATCTAGATTTTATATACAGCATTCTCATATAATTTTTTAAAAATTTCATGCAGTTATGGCCTTTTAAACTTATCTAATACTATTTCTCTTTTCCTTTCTGTTTTTCTTGATCATTTTTGATTTTTATCTGTAAGTATATTTTTCAACAAAGAAATCAGAAAGGGAATAGAGATTGCTAAAAATGCAAAGAACTAATTAACTCTTGCTACCTCTTTTAAATTCACACATTTTTCTTACTTCTATTACTTTGATCCTCCTAATCTCTTTTATCTAAATGTCTTCTGAAATTTTTAGATCATTAAAAAATGTTTTAATGTTAAAAAAAAAGTTTTAATGTTAATAAAATATTTCAGGCATACCAAAAGTATAGGCCACAAAATGAACACCGAAGCATTTACCATAGGGCTTAAGAAATATTACGAATATAATGTTCCTTGTGTAAGCTGTTCCCAGTGATGCCATTCCCACTTCTGAGTAGCAGCCTTTATACCAAATTTAGAGTTTATCAATATCAAGGATGTTTTGTAATTCTTTACTACGTTGCATATATTAATAAACAATGTACAGCATTGTTTTGCAAGTCTTTAAACCTTATATGAAGGGTACAATACTGTCTGTACCTTTACGCACCATGCCTTTTTCACTTAATATTATGATTTTGAGATTTAGTCAATTAATGTATGTCTCTGATTCTCAATGTTATGTATTATTCTATTGTATTAATATATATGAATATACCTCTGTTGATCAACTTAAGGCTATTTCCTATTTGAAAAGCACTGCAATGAACATTCCTGTGAAATGTCTTTGCAGGTAGCACGCATTATAAATATCTTCTCCCAGGCTGTTTCATGTCTTTTCATTGTTTGATATCGTTTATGCAAAAAAGTTTTCATTTTAATAATGGCATATTTATTATATTTTTCCTTTAGGGTAGGTGCTTCGTGTGTCCTGTTTAAGAAATCTTCCATTATCACATGGTCATAAGGATAGACCATCTAAATTCTAAAAATGTAGTTATCCCATTTACTTTTAATATGCCTGGCATACTACACATTTCTGTTTAGTGTGCAGCGGTGATTTATCTGATTTTATTTTTTCCAGATATATATTCACTGGTTCAAACTCTATTGAATAGTTCCTCTTCATCCTTTCTCCACAGATTGTTATGCTATCTCTGTGTATGTTAAGTTTCCACATTCATGGATATATTTCTGGGTCACCATTCTGTTTCATTTTTCTTTGTTTATTCCTTTGCAAATGATGTCTTAAACAAACTACACATGTAATAAGTCTTGATGTGTGATATGGCAAGATCCCTTATCTTATTCTTTAAATATACTTTTTTTGATTTTCCATAAATATTTTAGAATCAGCCTGTCAAGTTCCACAAAAAAATCCTACTGGAATTCTGAGTAGCAATGCATTTAATTTAGAAATTAATTTGGTGACATCTTTATTATCATAATTGTATAATTTTCCAACTATTTAGGTCTTAATATATTTCAATGTAGTTTTATAATTTTCTCTTAAAATAGTTCTACATGCCCTTTTAGATTCATTTCTAAGTACCATATTGCTTTTTAAAAGATCTTTTTAATTGTACAGTGGAAAATATGGGGGAAAATGTGCACAGATAGAGCTCAGTGAATTACAAAAACCAAGTGTATATAACCTTATCCAGGTTAGGAAATAAAATCTGGCTAGAAACTTACATGCTCCCCTCATTCTTCCTTCCATCTCCCCCATGCTGAGGGTAACACCTGATTTTAAATATAACAAATTGGTTTTGAATATTCTTCAACTTTTTATAAATGGAATAATATAGCACATACTCTTTTGTGACTTGCTTTCTTCTCTCAAGTTGTTTGCAAGATTCATTAAGTGGTGTCACATATATTTACCTTCACTTATCTCACTTGCTAATCAGTATTCAATAACATTAGTATGCCACAATTTATCCATTCTACTGGATAAATACTTGGCATTTGGGTAGTTTCCAGTTTGGAGCTATTACAAACACTGCTGTGAAGAATATTTGTGTATGTTTCTCTTGGTGCTTGTATGCATCCCAATCTGTTGAGTATAGAGTTAGGAACAGAACAGCTATGTCATAGGTTCGGCTTTTGTGGAACTTAGTAGATAATGTCAAACTGCTTTTCAAAGTCATTATACCAATCCACACTCTCACAGCAGTGAATTAGTTCTGCTTGTTCTACTGCATTCTTACCAATACGGTATTGTCTTTTTCATTTCAGCCAAACGTCTTAGTAGGTACATGGAGCTATCTTACTGTGATTTTAATTTACATTTCCCTGTTGATTAATGAAGTGAAATATTTTGCACATGTTAATTGGCTGTTAGATATTCTCTTTTGTAAAGTATCTATCAAAGTCTTTTGCCCATTTTTCTATTGGGCTGAATTCCTTTTTCATATTGATTTGTAGGCATTCTTTTTATATTCTGGGTATAAGCCTTTTTGAGTCGGAGTCTCGCTCTGTCACTCAGGCTGGAGTACAGTGGCGCGATCTCGGCTCACTGCAAGCTCTGCCTCCTGGGTTCACACCATTCTCCTGCCTCAGCCTCCTGAGTAGCTGGGACTACAGGTGGCTGCTGCCATGCCTGGCTAATTTTTTTTTTGTATTTTTGTATTTTTGTATTTTTAGTAGAGACGGGGTTTCCCCATGTTAGCCAGGATGGTCTCGATCTCCTGACCTCGTGGTCCACCCGCCTTGGCCTCCCAAAGTGCTGGGATTACAGGTGTGAGCCACCGTGCCTGGCCCTACTTTCTCTCTTTACTTTCTGATCTTTCACATTTCTGAAATGTATTGTTGAATTTACCTATACGTTCCTGTAATTTTCCTGAATATGTTTGAGAATATACATATAAGCTCACAATTTTATCTTTCCTGGTATATTTGACCCTTTTATTACTATGAGATAAAACTGTTGTATCTACCTTTAATTTTTTTTTTGTCCTGGAATTCTATTTTGTCTATATTAACACTAGCTTTTCTTTAGTCAATATTTGCCAAATGTACTTTTTTTCTTACTTTTTTGAGCTGAAGGACAATATAAATTCTGATTTAATAAAAATAATGTATATGTTTTAAAAGTCAAATAGTTTCATGAAGCTTATAAGAAAAGTTAGCAGTTCCCTCTCCAGGGATCTCCAGATCCCCAATTTCTAAAGGCTACCATTTTCAACTCCTTTAGCCATTTATTCTAGGATCAATATCCTTATTTCCTAATAACATGCTTTATACTATACATTTTATATTCCAGAAAGTATCTATTGATTTCCTTCTAAGATCAATTACAATCTCATATCTTTCAGTTCTGGGATTTATTCTTATACTATATACTAAGATCAATTATGGATTTATCTCATTACAAAACCCTCCTACCCATACATATCTTTTCATGCTATCTTCTGAAAAGTTTTAGCCCTATATTAATGTTCAGTGTTTATATGTCACATAAATAATGGTCAGAGTGATTAAATCAATATTCAATTAAATCGATATTTAGTGTTTACATGATTGTTTACATAATTATTATTCACAGCTAAGCCAGCTAGTACACTGTAATTACATTTATTTTCTATTACAAACTTATGCTTTTCCTGAAGAGTTAATAACTGCTTTGTTTTTGCATTTTCTGAGTTTCTAAGACTGAAAACCTCCTCTAAGTATAGTCAATCACATAAGGTATCCTATCAATTTGACTTTTTCCTTGCAGGCTTCAATCTGAATGGGTTCTAGGCCTTGTGTACCACCACCACAGTGAGAATTCGTTTCCCGTTTCCTGTGTTGGCCTCCTCCATTTCCTCAATCCCATGTTTTCTTTCTTTTCTTCTTTTTTAACTTAAATAAACTCCCTTGTTTTAGTGAAATAATTTTCTCTCAGAATTCTAAGGTATTATTCCTTTGGTTTCTAACTCTGTTTATCACTTTTGAGAAGTTTGATGCCAGTCTCATTTCCATTTCTTTACATGGAATGTACGTTTTCTTTTTGGAAGCTGTTAGAATCTCTTTTCAAATCAGTTTTAAAATGTCAAGGTCATGTGCCTTGGTGTATATATTTATGTACATGGTAGTCCCTTTTAGTATGAAAACTCACATCTTTCAGTTCTGAAATTTATTCCTATACTAGTCCTTTGGTTCTTTCTTTTTTGCCTTCTCTATTGTCTTTATAGAATACCTGCTTTGGATGTTGAAACTTTTGGGACAATCTTGAATTTTAAAAAATATTTTCCCGTCTCTTTATGTTCTATTTTTGAAGAGATTTTCTCACTTTTATATTTCACCCCTTTAACTGAGAATTTTACTTATGATATGATCTTCTATGAGCTCTTTTAGCTATTATATAGGTCTTTGTTCAGTTTCCCAGGCAGGCATTCTCTCCTCTATTCTTCTTCTTTAATTCTCTAAGGCAAGAGGTTCTGAGGCTAGGTTTCTCTCAAGGTGAAATGGCTACTAAGGACTAAGCCAGGAGGATGGCTTTTCCTTAGGATGTGAAATCTGTAAGTAGACCAACTGATGGGAGATTGTAGGGGTCCTCAGATAATTGAGACTGACTTTATTTCAAACATATCATCTTTACCAAATGAAGCCTGGGAGTGAGGTAAAGCTGGTAAGTTCTTTGTGCAGACTTCAGACACAGTTCACTTCTTTCCTGCCAACTTTTCCACATCTCCCCTCACCTAAAGTATCTGACACTGGGATCTTAGGGTTATCTGTTTCAACCAAACTGCCACTAGTATATGGATAGTGGAAAACATGTAAGGGATTCCCTGGTGCATGAAAGTTTTCATTTATGAACTATATTTTGTAAAATTATTTCTTTTTATTTACTTGGTAGTCTCAATGTTAGCTGGTAGATATGCTTCTCTTGTCTTATTTCAAAAAGCATTTATAAAAAGACTTCACTGTGTTTTGAAGTAGAACAAAATTATCTAAAAAACTGTGTGCTTTAATAAGCAGACCTCATTTATTTTTCTCACAAAGGCATTGATGCTATCACATGAAGTCATTAACACTATACCAAAACTAGAACATAGAGCCACCCTACGTTTAAAAACTGCCCTGGGATCAGTAGCACCTATTTGGCTAATAGTTATACACAGGAATAAAAAAGTATAAATATAACAAACACAGGCAATTATACATACAGAATTTTCAGTGGCTACTGGAGTTTTCATTTAATAAATATTATCATCTCTCAGCTACAAAAGTATAACGTCAGGGGTGCAGAAGAAAAAAAGCTTTTATAAAACAGTGGGGGCCAGGCACGGCGGCTCATGCGTGTAATCCCAGCACTTTGGGAGGCTGAGGCAGGCAGATCATCTGAGGTCAGGAGTTCAAGACCAGCCTGGCCAACATGGTGAAACCCCACCTCTGCTAAAAATACAAAAAATTAGCTGGGTGTGGAGGCGGGCGCCTGTAATCCCAGCTACTCCGGAGGCTGAGGCAGGAGAATCACTTGAACCTGGGAGGTGGGGGTTGCAGTGAGCAGACATCGCACCATCACACTCTACCCTGGGCAACAAGATCGAAACTCCATTTCAAAAAAAAAAAAAAGATTGAAACTCAAATACCCACAGTGACCAGACAGATAAGGTGGAAGAATGAAGCAGACTGAGTCTTAGAGCTGTGGGGATGGAAGCAAACAAGAGAATGGATGTCCTGCCTGCAGGGGGACAGCCATGGCTCAGCTGCAGCTGATTACCACCATGAATAAATGCAAGCCAAAGGGCAGCCAGATTTTCTGATTTTTCAAGGGAAATCAAAAATCTTAGTTTTAAATGTTGGCAGAAAATTTAAAAAATTTTAAAACAACATGGGGGCTGGATGCAGTGGTTCGTGCCTGTAATCTCAGCACTTTGAGAGGCTGAGGCAGGTAGACAGCTTGAGGCCAGGAGTTCAAGACCAGCCCAGGCAACATAGCGAGACCCTCATCACTACAAAAAAAACCTCATCACTACAAAAAAATTATTAGTCAGGCATAGTGGCGTGTACCTCTGGCCCCAGCTACTTGGAAGGCTAAGGTGGGAGGATCACTGGAGCCCAAGAGTTCAATGCTGCAGTGAGCTATAATTGCATCACTGCACTCCAGCCTGGGTGACAGAGTGAGACCCTGTCTTTAAAAAAAATTTTTTTTAAAAAATCATGTCAGCAACAGAATCCAGCCTATAAGACATTACTTTGTAATATCTGACAGAGATACACTAATGTGGCAATTTAATCAAGATTTTCTATGGATCTTAGTATCTAAAACATACTTGACTGGGTATTATTTCATTTCAAAAGCTGTATCATATTTTATTCCCCATTGTGAAAATGAAGTTTACAGTTTTCAAAAATCTCTGAAGCATAATAAAGGATTTTATGAAATTTTACCTTCTTATATATGCTCAATATAATGGCAAGGAGAAAAGCTTGTATAACGAAACAGAAAAAAAGGATAAAGATTAGACAGTAATCTCACTTAGGATGAAAAGGGGAGAAAATGCCACAAAGTTTACAAAGCCAATCCAGTTACCTGCATTTTCATTCCACAAGGGTTTTTCTCCCACTGGCAAGGATGCCTTAGTCACTACCCTCTTACTGTAGATTCCTTCTTTATGCTTAATGTTAACAGTGGCTGAGAGATCATCATCTCTTGTGCCTAGCACCTGAGCTGGGAAGTCTGGAGCAACCGCATCATTGGATCCTAAAGAAAAATGGGGAAGTAATACAAAACACAAATAGTGACATGAAATTGAGAAAGACTTTTTAAAAATTTGCCTCTCAGACCAGTTCTATGAAAAAAGCACTACAGGCCAGGCACGATGGCTCATGCCTGTAATCCCAGCACTTTGGAAGGCAGAGGCGGGTGGAGTTCAAGACCAGCCTGGCCAAGATGGTGAAACCCCATCTCTACTAAAAATACACCAGGTGTGGTGGCAGATGCGTGTGACCCCAGCTACTTGGGAGGCTGAGGCAGAAGAATCGCTTGAACCTGGGAGGCTTAGATTGCAGTGAGCAGAGATTGTGCCACTGTACTGCAGCTTGGGTGACAGAGTGAGACCTGGTCTCAAAAAAAAAAAACCAAACAAACAAAAAACAAGAAACAAACGAACAAAAGAACAAAAAAACAAAAAAACACTACAATGGGTAGGATAATCAGAAGGAAATGTCAGTCAAACTGAAGTTGTAAGCTATGTAATATAAATTCTAATAATACAAGGCAGAGATGCAAATTATATAAGAGAAGATATAAAATGGAGAATCAGTTCAGGAGAGAGAATATTTTCAGCTCACGATGGTTTTGGTGGAAGGACAAAATGGATTGTACCTTGGAAAAAAGTAGTTTTTGATATAGAAAGGAAGGAAGAAAGGCATTTTAGGCAGAAGTTATAGCATAAGCAAAGACAAGAAGCATTTAAGAATGGCGGACACTTTATGGTCAGGCTGGATTGCAGAATACATTAAGGAGAGTGGTAGAAGGTATTTAAAAATAGTTGTTTGGGACAAAATTCAGCAGTGCATGGGATCCCAAGCTGAAGAGTATAAACGTTATTGTATATGAAATGCAACATAATGGAAGATTTTTAAATGAAATAATAATATATTTAGCTATGTTTCCAGAAGATTAATCTGACAATACAAAAGACAAAACTGAAAGGAAAATGACAGATAAGTAAAAGACTTGAAAGTATTTAATTCTTTTAAAATATATTTCAATATTCCTACATTCCTTGACATAATAAATTAATCTATAAACCATGCCACATCTAACAGGCAAAATAACATTTCTGGACATATAAAGGCTTATACTAATTTTCTGTGAGATGATTTTTCTTTCTAAGATCCTGTATTTCCTGAGCTCCTAGTATGTGTATGGCAATAAGAGCTGGGTAAGTACCTGTATCATTAGTACAGTGCACAATAAGCCATGAAGAGTTTTGCAGGACAGATTGCAAGGAAAACACCACCTTCTGGGCCAAATAGATTATATTGGGCTCCTCTCAACTTCTGTAAAATCACTTTCTCTTATCTGCCTCTTACCTCTCCGGAAACTTATTTTTTATCTTTTCCTCTACCAAATCTCTCAATGCTAGAGTTCCTCAAGGAGTCAGAACTGGCCTCTCTTCCCTTCCTAGGTAAACTTATCGACCACCAGGGTATATGCTGATGACCAACAAATAATGTACCATTGGCCAAGACCTTTCTTCTGAGCATCTGACTCCAGCATTCAGCGACACAGCTAGCTCTTACAGCACTTTTATGGAAATTAGAAAAATGTCTCTTCCTCAAATAAAAATGTTTAAGTTACTATATATTGTAGTACAACACAAACTACTATAAATGGTGGTCACTCTCTTCACAAATTCTCCCAGGGAGTACACACCAGCAGTAGCATGCACACACACAGTCTGCACCACCACCCCTTGTTCTCCAAGAGAGATGATCCCTCAAGTTCAGAGTTAGGTGGGGAACAATTATGTCCCTGAGAGCAGTGGGTGAATGAGCAAGAGAATCAACCTCAGAGGAGGTGAGAGGCAGCTGAGAGAGTGCAGCTACACATGTGTGCGTGTCAGTGAATGTAAATATACTTATTTTCCTGTACCTGTGCATAGCTACAGTATGTGTGAGTATAGATTTATGTTTGGGGCAGCACAAGAGTTAACATTGCTGCTCCAGAACTCTAACTAAAGATCTGGAATATTCATGCCCATCTGTGTGCTTTCAAAAAAGTATATAATTATAATGGGAACAGTGCCCCTTATAGGTGGCACTATTACCTTAACACGTGTAAATTAACTCTGCCTACATTCGATTGTAGACCCAACATCTCTATGTGGATGTATAACAGGAATCTCATTTTTAACATGTCCAAAGCAGACATTTTGATCATCTTCCCCAAATCTGCTTTTTCCTCAATCTCCACCTCAGTAAATGGCACCTCTATTCACCTAGTTGCTCACTCCAGACATTTTTTTCACGCTCTTCTCCCTCACTCTCCATACTCTTATTACCAAATCTAGGAGAAACTATTTCTAAAAGGAAGTTGACTGTCCATTTCTCCCTATCTATAGATAACACTGTGATACTGATGCTACCATCTCTGGTACTGTCTACAGCAACAGCCTTCTAACTAACTGGTGTCTCTACTTGCACTTTAACCCACCCCACCATGGCTCTCTGCCTTCCCATCTATAAACCATTTCTCCATATAGTGGCAAGAATAAACTTTACAAGTGTAAATCAAACCATAATTGCGGTAGTACTAGAATAAAATCCAAACACTTTAATACAGTTGATAAGATCCTGCATGATCTTGAACCTACCTGTCTTCAACCGTATCTACCCATCACTATGCTCTACCCTGTTAAATACAATTTATGGGAGTCCACTGTCTTAGACTGAGCTCCTGCACTAGGCCCCAACAGACCAAACCAAAATGTAGTCACTTGTACTAAATGCCATACAATCCAACTGAAACTTTAAGGAAGAAGGAAAGTTCCACAATGGACCGGAGTTTTCTAAAAACGAGAGATCCACAGCAACTAACTGAAAAAGGGGCCAGTCACCCTGAGCTGGCGTAACAAGGAACTTATCTCTGCTTTAATCTTTACCAGGAAAGTAACCTGATGTTAATCAATATGCTTTTTTTGGTATTACCGATGATCCACCACTTACAATGGAGTTACGTCTTGTTAAGTCCATCATAGGTTGAAAATACTGTTAGTCAAAAATGTATTTAATGCCCCTAACCTATCATAGCTTAGCCCAGCCTACTTTAAACATACTCAGAACACTTACAATAGCTTACATGTAGGCAAAATCATCTAACACAAAGCCTATTTTATAATACAGTGTCAAATAGTTCATATAGTTTATTAAATGCCATACTGAAGTATGGTTTCTACTAAATGTGTATCACTTCCATACCATCATAAAGTCAAAAAATAGTTAAGTGGAACCACTGTAAATTGGGAACTGTCTGTATTATTTCCTTGTTCCTGGTCTGGCTACGTCATCAGAACCAACTGCTCTCCCATGCCCAGTGCACCTTTTTCTATATTATAGAATGAGATGTTGCCTGATTCATGAATCACTACAAAAACCAATTAGATCTTCAAATTTATTGAAATTTCAACCCATGCTGCCTTCTTTCCATTTGTCACATGCATCAAGCTCTTTTCTGCTTCATGGGCTTTCCTAATCTTGCTCCCTCTCGCCAGAACATTCTCACACTCCACTCTTTGCCTACCTAATTCATCCTCATCCTCTAGAGTTCAGCTTAAAAGTTTCTTCCTGGAAAAGACCTTCAAAAGTTCGTAAAACAAAACTGGGTCTACTTGTTTATCTTGGAACTCTTCTTTATTTTCTTAGCATTTATCACTTGTAATTATGTACTTATTTATGGTCGAATATCTATCATCCAATGTGAACATAAACTCCATTATAGTTTATTTTGAGCAATACTGAAATTGTAACACCTACCACAGTATATCTGTCTGGAACACAGTAACATCTTTAATACCTATTGTTTGAATAAACAAATGAACATGAGCTGACAGCTTTCTATCATTTAAAAAAAAAAAATCAACCTGATCGTTGTAGAAAATTCAGGAAAGTATGAAGGAAACAATAAAAGAAAACCCAACTAAATCTGGGTTATATATCCTACTAAGTGAACATATACAAGGATCATACCATATACAGTCTCATTACTATTTTTTCACTAAAGTAGAGATATATTTTAAATGGAATTTAGGGTTTAAAGTCAGCATATGAGGTGAAAACCTTGCCATAGAGGGTCAAAATCACCCTTAGGAAGGCATATGTTGAAACTGACATCGTGCCTGCTCAAGAAACCCACCAGACTCCATTTTTGCCTCCAGGCTTGCAACTTATCGCTGCGCCTGAATCTGAGCACCTGATGAAGTACCTGACATTGTACCAAAAAGACATTTCTTCAAACTCTAGAATCATACCCAGACAAGCAAGGTAAGATGCTTACACTATAAAAGGCAAACGAGGACTACAATGAACTTTGAGAATGAAGTTTTCCATCTTTCATTACATATTCTTCCTTAGTCATACGTTCATAAAGGGTAGAGTGCATGCACAAAACACCTGTACTTTTAAAATTCTCTTCTTTTTTGTTAAGTATATTTATTGGAACTTGCTTAAGTTAAATACATGTATGAGACAATATCAATATATGCTAAAATTATTTATCATAGCTAAAGACATCTCACTGAATTCCACTCATCTGATTTAATTGTTTATGCTATCTTAAAATTCCCTATGTTTCTTGTTTTGTTACTTTGCTAATTTCATGTACTCAACACTGATTTGGAAGATAGATACCTACTTTTAAAACTCAATTAAGTTTTTTTGGTAACTTCTTAAGTTTTTTTAACTGTGGTAAAATATACATAAAATGTAACCATGACCGGATGCAGCGGCCCATGCCTGTAGTCCCAGCACTTTGGGAGGCTGAGACAGGAAGATCACTTGAGGTCAGGAGTTCGAGACCAGCCTGGCCAACCTGGTGAAACCCCGTCTCTGCTAAAAATACAAAAATTAGCTGGGTGTGGTGGCAGGTGCCTATCATTCCAGCTACTCAAGAGGCTAAGGCAGGAGAACTGTTTGAATCTGGGAGGCGGAGGCTGCAGTGAGCTGAGACTGTGCCACTATACTCCAGCCTGGGTGACAAAGCAAGACTCTGTCTCAAAAAAAACAAAAAACAAAAAACAAACAAACAAAAAACCCACAAAAAATAACCATTTTTAAGCATATAGTTCAGTGGCATTAAGTACATTCACACTGTTATGCAACCATCACCATCATCTACCTCCAGAACTTATTCATCTTCCCAGACTTAAACTCTCTACCCATTAAATAGTAACTTCCCACTCCCCTACCCCCAGCCCCTGGTAAACACAGTTCACTTTGTGTCTCTATGAAGCTGACTTTTCTAGGTACCTCATATAAGCAGACTGGCTTATTTCAACTGGCCTACTGTCTTCAGAGTTCATCCATGTTGTAGCATGTATCAGAATTTCATTCCTCTTTAAGGCTGAATAATACTCCATTACACATATATGTCACATTTTGTTATCCATTCATAGATCAATAGACATTTGGGTTGTTTCCACCTCTTGGCCATTGTGAATAATGCTGTTATGAACATGGGTGTACAAATAGCTCTTCAAGATCCTACTTTCACTTTGTTGGGGTATATATTTAAAAGTGGAATTACTGGATCATACTATAATTCTATGTTTAATTTTTTTGAGGAACAGCCACAATGTTTTGTGTAATGGCTATACCATTTTACATTCCACCAGCAATAAGCAGTGGTTCCAATTTCTCCACATCCCTGACAACACTGATAATTTCCCTTTATTTGCTTGTTTTTAAAAATAACAGTGATTCCAATGGGTGTGAAGGGGTATCTTAATACAGTTTTGATTGGCATTTCCCTCATGATTAATGAAGTAGAGAAGATTTTCATGTGCTTATTGGCTATTCGCACATCTTCCTTGAAGAAATGTCCATCAAATTCTGTGCCCATTTATCAATCAGATTGTTTGGGTTATTGTTGTTGAGTTGTAAGAGTTCTTTACATATTTTAGATATTAATCCCTCATCAGATAAATGATTTGCAAATATTTTCTCCTGTGAGTCACCTTTTCATTCTGTTGACTGGATTTTGTATACAAAAGTTCTGAATTTTGATAAAGTCTCACATATATATTTTTCTTTTGTTGCCTTTGTGTTTTGTTTTTGTTTTTGTTCTTTGAGACATGGTCTCACTCTGTTGGCCAAAATAGAGTGCAGTAGTGCAATCATAGTTCACTGCAGCCTTAAACTCCAGGGTTCAAGTGATACTCATGCCTCAGCCTTCCAAGTAGCTGAGACTACAAGCATATGCCATCATGCCTGGCTAATTTTTAATTTTTTGTAGAGACAGGGTCTTGCTATATTGCCCAGGCTGATCTCAAACTCCTGGGTTCAGGCAATCCTCCCATCTCGGCCTCCCAAAGTGCTGGCATTAGAGGCATGATCCACCGCACCTGGCCTGGACATTTAAATAATATAATGCAGCAACTCTGGAAATCAGATTCTATTTCCATTCCAAGGTTTGGTGTTGTTGCTTTATGTTGTTTTAATAACTTCTCTAAACTAATTCTGTAAAGTCTATATTCTCTGTTATATATGGCCACTGAAGTTACTACTCAATTAGTTTAGTGATCAGCTAATGCCTGAACAGAAATTTCCTTAAATGCCTAGAACCAATAAATCTCCCAGCCTTTATCAAATGGCTCCATGCATATGTTGGGATGTACCTTCAACACTAACCTAGGCAGCTGCCAACTCTACCTTAGCCTTCCCTTTTCTTCTTGTACAGACCCTCAAGGTCAGCCAGAGATAAGACCTAGTGCCTTGGGTCTTTCCCAAGCATACACAGGCCTATGCATGTATGGGGTCTCGCAGAGTCTTAGGAATATGTCAGAGCCTTTCAAAGAATCTATCAACATCTTATCCTCAAGTTTTCCTTTTAAGCTTTTCAGTTAGTTTACTGTTTACCTCAACTGTTAGTCCTCACCTCAGCCACTATGATATTAAAATACTTGTCTATAAATGTTTTTGATAAACATCTTTCCCTCCCTTTCACCAGAGGCCTTTAGCACTGGATGGCTCCCAGTCAGGTCAAGTAAAGGTAAGCCTTTTGAGAGGAATCTTCCATGGAACCACTAGACACATCAAATTTTAACAATTCTTTGGGAAAGAAGTTTTAAAAGAGCCCAGCTCCATTTTGCATCCTCTGGTCTTGGAAAAGAAAGCTATATTTCTTAAGTCTATCACTGACCTGAGGTACTGGGAATGGGACTAGGGCAAGTTAAAATGCCAACGCTTACTGTTCTTAGTGGGATTTGGCCATTTTTCTTGAATAAATACTCCCTGGGTTGCCATTACAACTGGTTTATTTGCAAACATTTATCTCTTTCTTTGGATGGCTATTTCCTTTGCCCTTGTTTTTTTGTCGTCCTTGTTGTTTGGATCTTATGAGTTCTATTATTTACTTATTCTCAACTGAAGAACAATTATTTGGCCCAAATATTTTCTAACAATGATGTATGTCTTGCTCCTGGCCCCAAACTCTAATTGGCTCCTCTCATATCTATAGATGCACAACATATTCATAGAAAACGGCCAGGAATTAGAACAATTCCTAGGCTTTCATCCAGTGTAGGTCTACTGGTCTAAGAAAGGATTGTTTTCTATTTCCAACTTCCTCACTCTCAGAATAGACGAAGAACATGAAAAAACAATCTCAAGTGTATATGGCAACTAGATCTCTTTTTGTCGTACTGATGCATACAGTACTTTATTACAGAAAATGTATGTCTTAGGATACGGTGTGCCAGTCCTGAGTCATTTTCTTCTCCCATCACCTACACTATTCAATCTTTAAGTTAATCTCTCCAACCAGATGGAAGTGTTAGTGATGTCTATGGATAGCAGGACACAGGAGGCCTCAGAACTGGGCGACACAGCGAGACTCCGTCTCAAAAAAAAAAAAAAAGGTACTGGCACATCTGACCAGGTTTCTACTGTTTACAGACATTCTGTCTTCTGAACTGTAAGTAAGTGGGATAGAAGATTTTCCTACCTACAATTAATTAAGTGAACTTGTTTTCTTTCCAGTAGCCGTTAACAGTGTTTTTAAAACCATAGCCTTGCAAGGAGTAAACATTTCATTTATGGCTATAAACTTAACAATTAATCTTAACTTTTGGTGAGTATTTTTGTGGTTCTTTTTTTTTTTTTCAATGCTATCATTGTGAGAAATTAGGCGAGGTTATACCAGAGGCTTTAATGCAGTTACTATCAAAAGCTAGTTTGGTTCTCTTTCAGATAAAAGTAACAAAAATGTTTGCCTAAGACCAGGAACAACTTCTCCTTTCTTTGTAATTTCTACACACATATTGATATTTATAGATAATCATGGAAAAAATAATTTGTCTAAAGTGAACCAAGTCATCTCCTGTGGACAACTCAAAACACTGTCCCACCAATCAAAACGCTACACCACACCAACTCTGCACCCTTAACTTAAAATCTTCTATAAGAAATATTTACCTAGTGCCTCCACAGGGTACTATTCATTTCCTAACTCTGCAGCTCCTCTGTAGTGGATTCACAGAGATGCTGCAGGATATTTTAAAATTCTAGGGAAAGGACAGTGATAAACTACTAGCTCAAGGTCAAAGTGTCAACATCAGATAGTGTTATGTTCCTTTCAATGCTGTTGTGCCTTGGCAAAAGCTGGATTTTTGACAGCTGCTGTAATAAAAAGCAGAAAATAAGAGAGGGTCCAACCTCATCTCATGGTTTGAGAAGCTGCATAGTGTCCAACAGCTACACACATGTCATTAGTAAGTAATCATGGTTATTTATGAACAAATTCTTTTTTCAAAAACCAAAACCAAAAATAAAAAACAAATTTGTTAAATTAGTTGTTAGATCAAAACAATTAGTATTTATGTCCTAATTCCTTAGTTGCTATTTGAAAAAAATAATTGCTTTTTTTTTTTTTTTTTTTTTTTTGAGACGGAGTCTTGCTCTGTCACCCAGGCTGGAGTGCAGTGGCCGGATCTCAGCTCACTGCAAGCTCCACCTCCCGGGTTCAAGCCATTCTCCTGCCTCAGCCTCCCGAGTAGCTGGGACTACAGGCGCCTGCCACCTCGCCCTGCTAGGTTTTTGTATTTTTAGTAGAGACGGGGGTTCACTGTGTTAGCCAGGATGGTCTCGATCTCCTGACCTCGTGATCCGCCCGTCTCGGCCTCCCAAAGTGCTGGGATTACAGGCTTGAGCCACCGCGCCCGGCCTGAAAAAAATAATTGCTTATTATACATAAAGTGGAGAAAATAAATCAATGAAACACTAAGGGTACTGTGAACCAAGAAAGCTTAGAAACTTTGCCCTAGATAGAGCCCACTAACCCAAATAATGATCCATACAATTTCCTTCATCAAATATTTATAAATGCCTATGTGTATATAATATATCTGATCAAATAACTCATCTATCTGAACCAGAGATCAATGTATGAAAAGTTCCATATTTCACTGAAAAATTAAAGAGCACTGGATTTTTGTCACTACAGAATCAACTAGCCAATACACAAATAAAATTTCAAATAATAAAACTTTGAATAATTTCTGCATAATACCTGAATGGGAGCTTTCAACGGTGGTATCTGATTTGGAATCCGGAGATGGAGGAATTTGTCTTAATTGTGGAACATAATACATCTTCGTACTACCAGAAGGCTTATATGGCAATAATAAAGGCTGACCTAAGGAGGTAAAAATCAGAACAATTAATACGAAAAACATTTATTAATTCACTGAACAAATATGGAATGCCTTCTATGTTTCAGGCAGTGCTCATGACTTTTGGAATTTATGAGTGAACAAAGAGAAATGTATCTCTGCCTTCAAGAAGAATGAGAATTCTAGAGGAGGAAAATATACAGTAAATAATTAACATACTAAATTAGTAAATTATCCAGCATTTTAATAAATTATAAGTGATACAGAGAAAATATAGAAATGCTGAGGGTAATTAGGAATACAGGAGAAATTGAGGTTTAAATGCAGGGGAAACAGTTTAAGTAGGATGGTAGGGATAGGTTTCATTGAGATGACTTTTTAGCAATCCATTCCATATATAAATGACTCTAACTAAAAAACATCTTATCTTACATTGAACCATAACCTGGTCATAATCAAGCCCTTATACTGGTCTTATTTTGCTTCCAGAGTCACAGACAGTAAGTCTAATTCTCATCTGTGTGACAGGGCTTCAAAACATAGTCTCCACAGCAAGAGTATGAATTTTCAATATTAAGAAAACACATAAAAGTAAAAATTACAAGGTGCTACCACTCAAGGATAATTATTAACATTTTAATGTATATCTTACCCATCTTTTCCTGTTGTTTGTTTACAAAGTTGTCTGCATATAGTATGCATAATTTGAAATTCAGCTTTTCTATTTTCTATTTAAAATAAAAATATTCATTTTACTTCCTATTCTTCACATTTGTATGGTTATACCACAGATTAAATATAGTCAACTCTTAGCCTAATGTTGAAAATGCAGGTTGTGTTAAAATGTTCAATTATAAAGAATTCTGTGAATAAAGATTTTCCCGTTTATACTTATTCTTCCCCATCACCCATCTGAGGTAAATTCTTTTTACCAAGTGAAAAATTACACCCTTCATGAAGTTTTTAAAAAAGTACTGACTGCTAAATTGCTTATTAATATGTCTGTGACAATTTACTCTTCCTCCAACAGCACATGTAGAGTCATTAAGAAATGATTAATTGCTAATAGGGGTAAAAGGAATTTCATTTTAAAAATATGCCCTCATCTTACTATTACGGACTTTTTTTTTCTATATAATAGTTTTTCTTTCATGATTGGTAGAAACTGTCAAATATGCCCTCGTGTCCAACTTCCCTCCCTCCTTACATCTATACATCTATATATACTTCCAATCTCCCTCACAGCCATGTGTGAATGTGTGGGTAACATTGATCAGTCCATGGGAAGAGTGCGAGAACGTGTGCAACTTCCAGGCATTCCCGTAAAGTTATCCCATTAAAGTCCCCCACTTCCTAGATACTGCAGATCATGATAGCGGTAGCAGTTGCTCTAGACCCAGAAATGGAAGTCACGCTTCCAGAGATGGAAGGATGACAGAGCCATCAGACATGCAACTCAGCTATCTGCTCTAGACTACTTACCTGTAATTTAGGGTTTCTGTGATAAAATAGTTATACCATAGCCTAAAGTAATAAGAAACGCAATTCCCAGGAAAGTCTTGGTGGTGTGCTGGAATCAGAACCAGGTGACTTGGGGGTATGCAACCTAGTAAGACACCAGCCGAAATGGCCAAGGGAAACACTTGTGCCACTCCATACCCAAACCCAGACAACACAGCTTGCAGCTCCAGGAGAGGCTCCTTCCTTTCACTTGGGAAGATGGAAGATTAAACAGGCCTTTGTCTTGCAACCTGGATACCAGCTCAGCCACAGTATGATAGAGATGCCAGGCAGAGTCCTGAGGCCTCCATTCCATGACCTAGCTCCTGGACAACATTTCTAGACACACCCCGGGCCAGAAAGGAACCTGCTGCCTTGAAGGACCCAGTCCTGGTAGGATTCATCACCTGCTGACTAAAGAATACCTGGGTCCTGAATAGTCAGCAGTGGTAGCCAGGCAGTATCACCTGGGTGAGACTCAGAGATGTGCTGGCCTCAGGTGTGACCCAGCAATTTCCCAGCAATGGTGGCTATGAGGAGAGACTCCCTTTGCTTGAGAAAAGGAGAGGGAAGATTAAATAGGACTTTGTTTTGCAGTTTAGGTGCCAGCTCAGCCACAGAGGAGTAGAGTACAAAGTAGGCTCCAGCAGTTCCTGATTCCAGGTGTTGGCTTGTGGATGTCATTTCTGGACCTGCCCTGGGCCAGAAGGGAGCCCATAGCCCTGAGGGGAGAGTCCTAGGCCTAGAAGCATTCACCCAAGCTGACAAAAGAGCCCTTGGGCCTTGAATGAATATCAGTGGTAGGCAGCCAGTACTCATCACAAGCCTGAGGCAGTGGTGGCCATGGGGAGTGACTTCTCTGTTTGTGGGAAAAAGAGGAAAGAAGGGGAAGAACTTTTTGTCTTGTGGCATAGATGTCAGTTCAGCCACAGCAGAATAAAGCACTAAGGTTTCTGACTTCAGGTCATGGCTCCCAGACAGCAATTCTGGACCTGCCTAGGGCCAGGGGGAGATTGCCACCCTGAAGGAAAGCACACAAGACTGCCTGGCTTTGCCACCTGCTGATTGCAGAGCCCCAAGGCCTTGAACAAACATAGGCAGTATCCAGGAAGTGGTTCCTGTAGACCTCAGGCGTGACCCAGTGTTTGCTGGCTTCAGGTCTGACCTAGAACAGTCCCACTGGTGGTGGCCACAGGGGTGGTTGTGTCACACCAGCTCCAAGCAGCTCAGCACAGAGAGAGACTCCATTCCTTTGGGAGAAAGTAAAGGAAGAGAACAAGAGTCCCTACCTGGTAATCCAGAGAATTATTCTGGATCTTATTAAAAACTTCTGATATGGTTTGGCTCTGAGTATCCAACCAAATCTCATCTCAAATTGTAATCCCCATATGTGGAGGCAGAGACCTGGTGGGAGGTGATTAGATTATGGGTGTGGTTCCCCCACCTTGTTCTCATGATAGTGAGGGAGTTCTCATAAGATGTTGATGGTTTAAAAGTGGCAGTTTCCCCTGAGTTTTTTCTCCTGCTGCCATGTAAGATGTGTCTTGCTCCCCCTTCACCTTCCGCCATGACTGTTAAGTTTCCTGAGGCCTCCCCAGCCATGTGGAACTGTGAGTCAATTAAACCTCTTTTACTTGTAAATTACCCAGTCTCAGGTAGTATCTTTAAAGCAGTGTGAAAATGAATACAAAGAACTGGTGGCAGAAGTGGGGCACTGCTATGAAGATAACCTGAATATGTGGAAGCAACTTGGGAACCGGGTAACAGGCAGAGATTGGAACAGTTTGGAGGGCTTAAGAGGAAGACAGGAAGATGTGGGAAAGTCTGGAACATCCCAGAGGCTTACTGAATGACTTTGACCAAAATGCTGACAGTGACATGGACAATGAAGTCCAGGTTGAGGTCGTCTCAGATGGAGATGAGAAATTTGTTGGGAAATGGCATAAAGGTCACTTTTGCTATGCATTAGCAAAGAGACTGGCAGCATTTTGTCCCTATCCTGGAGATCTATGGAACTCTGAACTTGAAAGAGATGATTTACCGTATCTGGCGGGAGAAATTTCTAAACAGCAAAGCATTGAAGAGGTGACCTGGCTTACTCTGAAAGCATTCAGTTATGTACTTTCACAAAGAGAGGGTTTGAAATTGGAACTTACGTTTAAAAGGGAAGCAGAGTGTAAAAGTTTGGAAAATTTGCAGCCTGACTATGCACTAGAAAAGAAAAACCCATTCAAGGAATTCAAGCTGGCTGCAGAAATTTGCATAAGTAACGAGGAGCCAAATGTTAGTAGCCAAGACAATGGGGAAAATGTCTCCAGGGCATGTCAGAGATCTTAATGGGAGTCCTTTCCATCCCAGGCCTGGGGGCCTAGGAGGGAAAAATGGTATTGTGGGCCAGGCCCAGGGCCCAGCTGCTCTGTGCAGCCTTGGGACTTGGTGCCCTGTGTCCCAGCTGCTCCAGCTCCATCTCTGGCTAAAAGGACAACAGTTTGGGACATTGCTTTAGAGGGTGCAAGCCCCAAGCTTTGGCAGTTTCACGTGGTGTTGGGCCTACAGGTGCACAGAAGACAAGAGTTGAGCTTTGGGAGCTTCCACCTAGATTTCAGAGGATGTATGAATGCCTGGATGTCCAGGAAGAAGTCTGCTGCAGGGGCAGAGGCCTCACGGAGAACCTCTACTAGGGCAATGCAGACTAGTAACATGGGTTGGAGCCCCATTAACAGTCCCTACTTGGGTACAGCCTAGTGGAGCTGTGAGAAGAGGGCCATCATCCTCTAGACCTCAGAATCCACCAACAGCTTGCACTGTGTACCTAGAAAAGCTGCAGGCACTAAACACCAGCTCATGACAGTAGCTGTGGGAGCTGTACTCTGCAAAACCTCAGGGGTGGAGCTGCCCAAGGCCGTGGGAGCCAACTCCTTGCATCAGCATGCCCTGGATGTATGACATGGAGTCAAAGGAAATTTTGGAGCTTTAAGATTTAATGACTGCCCAGACAGGTTTCAAACTTGCATGGGGCCTGTAACCCCTTTGTTTTAGCCAACTTCTCCCATTTGGAATGCGAACATTTATCCAATGCCTATACCCCCACTGTATCTTGGAACTAACTTGTTTTTTATTTTACAGGTTCACAGGCAGAAGGGACCTACCTGCCTTGTCTAAGATGGGACTCTGGACTTGGACTTTTGGGTTAATGCTGGAACGAGTTGACTCTGGGGGACTATTGAGAAGGCATGATTGGTTTTTAAATGTGAAAAGGACATGAGATTTGGGAGGGGCCGGAGTGGAATAATATGGTTTAGCTCTGTGTCCCTAGTCAAATCTCATCTCAAATTGTAATCCCCACATGTTGAGGGAGGGACCTGGTGGGATGTCATTGGATCATGGGAGCAGTTTCTCTCATGCTGTTCTTGTGATAGTGAGGGAGCACTCATGAGATCTTGATGGTTTTAACGTGGCAGTTATCCCCGAGCTTCCTCTCTCTCTCCCGCCACCATGTAAGATGTGCCTTGCTCTCCCTTCA